AACAAACAGGCAATGGTTCCAATACACGGGCAACAAACAGGCAATGGTTCCAATACACGGGCAACAAACAGCCAATGGTTCCAATACACGGGCAACAAACAGGAAATGGTTCCAATACACGGGCAACAAACAGCCAATGGTTCCAATACACGGGCAACAAACAGGAAAGGGTGCCAATACACGGGCAACAAACAGCCAATGGTTCCAATACACGGGCAACAAACAGCCAATGGTTCCTATACACGGGCAACAAATAGGAAATGGTTCCTATACACGGGCAACAAACAGGAAATGGTTCCAATACACGGGCAACAAACAGGAAATGGTTCCAATACACGGGCAACAAATAGGAAATGGTTCCAATACACGGGCAACAAAAAGGCAATGGTTCCAATACACGGGTAACAAACAGGCAATGGTTACAATACACGGGCAACAAACAGCCAATGGTTCCAATACACGAGCAACAAACAGGCAATGGTTCCAATACACGGGTAACAAACAGGCAATGGTTCCAATACACGAGCAACAAACAGGCAATGGTTCCAATACACGGGTAACAAACAGGCAATGGTTCCAATACACGGGTAACAAACAGGCAATGGTTCCAATACACGGGCAACAAACAGCCAATGGTTCCAATACACGGGCAACAAACAGGCAATGGTTTCAATACACGGGCAACAAACAGGCAATGGTTCCAATACACGGGCAACAAACAGGCAATGGTTCCAACCCACTTCCTCTGAGCCCAGGTTTTCCTGGACCCGCCCCCAGCCTATGACTGGGCACTGAAAAGAGAAGCAGCACAGTGAGGAGCCCATCAGTCACTCTGCTCTCTCCTCCTATCAGCATGCATATTATCAGCACATGAACGGACTGGCTGATTGTGCTGCTTCTTCCTCCCGCAGCCCTGCTGTACACGGACTCAGACGACTTGCCTTATAAGAAGACATTTATTGGTGGTCACAAAGCTGCATTGTTCTATCACACGAGGAGAACTCTCTAGAAATCTCTCATCGCATCGCACAGAACTTTCGTCTTCGAGGTTTCCTTTTCATGACTTCCTCTTCACACTCAGCGACACCCTGTGATCTCACCCCAAGAGAGCGCCGCGGCGTCCAGGAAAGGACCGATCACGTGACCTCCGTCCTCCCCGAACGCCGATCCCTCCCGCCAGGGGGCACAGACGGCGCCGAAAAAACACAGGAGGAATTACGCATTCTGACAACCCCTTCCCTCCATTCCTTGTACGGGTGTCACCAGGACAGGAAGTGAGGTCACAGGGAAAAGTGTTTTTTCACTCCATCCAATGATATGAAACATATAAACAGTATTTATTATAGGTTTCATTTAGGGCTTGTTCACACCAAATGATGAGGGG